CTATCTATCTATCTATCTATCTATCTATTTATCTATGTATCATCTATCTATCAATAATAATTACAGATTACAGAGTTTCCTCAGAAACTTCACAGAGTGCTGCGGTTCGTTTTCTCTCTCCTGTTTCAACTTGTCTGACTTTCCATTTCTTCATGTCAGGAACAGGAAGAGTCCTGATAAGGTCACGGTGGGTGTGATGTCAGTGTGGTGGGCGGGGCTAAGCTTATATAAGAGCAGCGGAGCTCCTCAGCTCAGACTGACTGAGCTGCCCCACACTGACTGAGTCTGATGGGAGGATGCTGCTGCAGCCTCTCTGGAACGTTCTGCTGGGACACTCGTCCCTCCTGCTCTCACCTGTCTTCCCCGTCCTCTTCTCCCTGTCCATCTACCTGTCCTTCTGTCTGCCCTTCCTGTTGCTGGACCTGCTGTCCTCCAGGTGGGCCCTGGTGCGCAGGTACAAGCTGCAGCCTCAGAGCTCTGTCAGCTGGGCTTCGGTGCAGAGCTGCCTGGCCCTGACGCTCTACAACCACCTGGTCTTCATCTTCCCCCTCACCCTTATGCACTGGTACCTGAGGCCACTCCACCTGCCGCAGGAGGCCCCGCCCCTGCCCCGCCTCCTCGCTCAGGTGCTCGTCTGCCTGCTGCTCTTTGACTTCCAGAGCTTCACCTGGCACTTGCTGCACCACAGGGTGCCCTGGCTCTACCGCAACTTCCACAAGGTCAGTACCTGCACGAGACACACTTGAGACACACTTGAGACACCTGCTGCTGATCAGTGATCAGCTGATTATTGATTGCAACATTTTCTCATAATCACTTCATCAAATTTCATGAAATTCAGGTTGTTTTAATGATTTAATCTTGAAACTGGGAATCTGTGGATAAAAACACATTTTAAGTTTATTATTAATTATTGTTAATAAGTTATTAACGAGTAATAATGACAGAACAAAATATTAAATAGATAAATAACCTGATAATTTAATATCTGTGTTTTATTTCCTGACCGTTAACAGTTTGTCATGTTTGTGCTCCTGCAGCTGCACCACACCTACACCTCCACCTCCGCCCTCACCACCGAGCACTCGGGAGCGTGGGAGACTCTGAGTCTGGGCTTCTTCGCCGCCTGCACCCCCGTCCTGCTGGGCTGCCACCCGCTCACCGAGCTCGCCTTCTTCACGCTCAACATCTGGCTGTCGGTGGAGGATCACTGTGGCTACGACTTGCCGTGGGCCACGCACCGCCTGGTGCCACTGGGGCTGTATGGTGGGGCCCGCCACCACGACCTCCACCACCTCAACTCCAAGTGCAACTACGCCCCCTACTTCACCCACTGGGACCGACTGGCCGGGACACTGTACATACCACATGACTGAATTACTGACGGAGGAGTCTGTGAACTGACGGAGGAGTCTGTGAAGTGATGGAGGAGTTTGTGAACTGATGGAGGAGTCTGTGAGCTGATGGTCGAGTATGTGAGCTGACGGAGGAGTCTGAACTGATGGAGGAGTTTGTGAAGTGATGGAGGAGTTTGTGAACTGACGGAGGAGTATGTGAGCTGACGGAGGAGTATGTGAGCTGATGGATGAGTCTGAACTGATGGAGGAGTTTGTGAACTGATGGAGGAGTCTGTGAGCTGATGGTCGAGTATGTGAGCTGACGGAGGAGTATGTGAGCTGACGGAGGAGTATGTGAGCTGATGGATGAGTCTGAACTGATGGAGGAGTTTGTGAAGTGATGGAGGAGTTTGTGAACTGATGGAGGAGTCTGAATTGATGGAGGAGTTTGTGAAGTGATGGAGGAGTCTGAATTGATGGAGGAGTTTGTGAAGTGATGGAGGAGTTTGTGAACTGATGGAGGAGTCTGAAGTGATGGAGGAGTCTGAAGTGATGGAGGAGTATGTGAGCTGAGGAGGAGTTTGTTGAAACAAGGACGTTTGTGAACAGATTTAAAGCTGAACAAATTTCTGATTGTTCAGAAATGTTTACATCATATTTTCTTTTACATTAAAAGACTGATGGCAAACTGCACAGACACACATATAGACACATATATATTTGTATTATTATTTATTTGTTTATTGAGGAGCTCAGTGAGGACTGATGTGAGCCGCCTGTAACTGTCTGTCTGCAGTAAAATGTTTTTATGTGTTGAATCTTTAAAATCAGAAACTCTGCAGCTTCAGACCAGATGACCTGTTTTAACAGCAGATTTTTTACAGTGTAATTTTGGCCATTATTTTTCATGTTGTTTGAATCATATGAAGAGTTTTATAATGATTTATGTTCCTGTGCAGCTGTGCTGCATCAAGACCACATGTTTATTTATTCTTAATACATCAGTTCATATTGAACAGATGAATAAGGTGCGGACCACGATAGTTTTTATATGAATATATATTTAATATCATTAATGGCAGCTGATTAATGTTGAAGCTACAGTTATATAAAGTCTGAATGTAAACAGACGACAGGAAGTGAAGAGACTGAACTGTGATGTGTCGAGGAGAGAAACTCCTGATGAATGTTTGTCTGAGCTGAAAGTTTCAGACGTGACTGAAAATATGAAATCAGTATTTATATGAATCTGTGAGAATAAACTTTATGAACTAAAGTCAGAGTGTTTCTGTTTCTGATGTTTCAGTCTGATTTATGTTTGTTAACAACTTTAAGGACGAATCAGAAAGAAAATGCATGATGCAAATAAAGAGATGTCCACAAATACATAAACGAGTACAAGTACTCTGTTACTAAAGTACTGTCATCTAAATAAAGTACCTGCAGTAACGGTACTAATACCACAGAGTACAAGCAAAGATGGGCAAAAATACATCAAAATGTATTTTGATACAAAATATCCCTCAAATAAATGTATCAAAATAAAATACATGTATTTTGTATTTTCAAATACAGAAAATACTTCTTTTCTTTTTCTTTTTAGCAGCGACCTGCAGCTCTATAGGTCACTCTGACGGTCTGTTGAAAAAAGTCCTTGGCCAAAAATGCTCAAAAAGTGCATACTGCAACTAGAGACCATGAGTAACTATACCAGAAAGAATGCAGACGATTCGTCCATAGGTGGCGCTATACTAACCGATTCAAATCTTTGTGTGAATAACTCAAAAAGTCCTTGACCAGAAATGCTCAAAATTTACATGCTGCAATTAGAGACCATGAGTAATGCACTAACCTAGACAGTTAGCATAAGCACCACTAGCTTGATATTATAACTATCATCACCATGTATTTATACAATAGGCTATGTAGCCAGACCCAGTCATAAATCATACATCAAGCCAGTTGACATCTATCACACTCAGATAAAATATTTACCTTGACAGACAATCTATTGAACTTGGAAGACGTGAGCAGCAAGGTAGTCTGCTGGTGGTGTGGGTCCATCCACGTGAGCAGCATGCCTGGCAGGTTGAGTCTAGCTGTGCTGTGAACTGTCCACCAATGGTCTAGCTAAACAGCAGCAAGATACTGTAGCTACTGTAGCTAGTTAACTTGTTTGCTGTCTAACTTGGAGCCTTTGGAGCCCTGTGGTCAACTTTTTTCCAAGTGAAAAAGAGAAAACAAAGCTAGGGACATGTAGGCTACCCTAAAATATTATTTACTGATTCAGATTTAGATTCAGACAACTTTATTGATCCCACGTGAGGCAATTCATTTGTAGCAGACTCATCCCAAGCATCAACCACAACAACATACAATTTCCTCTGTTATGCACAGTCCAGTAAAACAGACCACTAGGTCATTGAAGGGCACACTGAATGGCCCAAGTTTAAAAAAACATAGATAAAAAAATATATATATGTTGAAAAAAAGTGAAAAATATTGTTACATCCATTATCATAAAAATGTGTAGCCTATTATTTTTGTTTTTTGGTTCGTGTTGAAAGTATTTTGAGTATTTTAAATACAACATTACTCCACTCAAAAGTATTTTGTTACAAATTACATTTGCTTTTTATCGGCCTTATCAAATACAAATTACAAAATACTCAAATGTAATTGAAATACGTATTTTAAATACAAGTCATAGAAATACTGCCCATCCCTGAGTACAAGTACTCTGTTACTAAAGTACCGTCATCTAAATAAAGTACCTGCAGTAACAGTACTAATACAGTATTAGTACCGTTACTCTGTTCCTCTTTGCCCGGAGAACACAACATCCATGATGGACTTGTCAGACCACAGCACACTTGCTCACTTTGTGTCAGTTCATCTCAGACGAGCTCGGACTCAGAGAAGTGGGCGGAGCTTCTGGATGTTGTTGATACCTGGTTTTGTCATCGGTACATGAAACCACAAACTGTGTTTACTGACAGTGGTTTTCCAAAGTGTTCCTGAGTCCATGTCGTACTGTCCTTTATACAGTCAGGTCTGTTTTTAATATAGTGCCCTCTGAAGGGTCAAAGGTCACAGCCACTCAGTGCTGGTTTTCAGCCTTGGCCCTCATGTGCAGAGATTTCTCCAGATTCTCTGAATGTTTTGATGCTATTACAGATTGTTGATGTTGAAATCCCTAAATTCTTTGCATCTGTGTTTTGAGACATGTTCTTAAACTGTTGGACTGTTTGCGCACACTATTTATAAAAAGCTCCTTTCATACCTATTAGCGATACTATTATCTGTTACCAGTTAACCTGTTTACCTATGAATGTTCCAACAGGGTTTTTCGGAACATGTTGCAGCATCAAATTCAGAATAAGTGTATATTTACAAAAAACAATAAAGTTGAATATCAAATATCTTTGGGCTGTATCCATTTGAATATTAGTCAAAAAGGATTTACAAATCATTGCATTCTGGGGTTTTTTGTTTTTTTTTACATTTTACACAATGTCCCAACTTTTTTGTTAGTTGGGGTTGCATAATCAAACATCATCATTGATTACTGATCAGATTTTAGATCAATAATCTGAATCTGTGAAGCTGTCAGATAAATGTGGTGCAGTGAAACCTCTGAGATGGAGGAGAAAGGAGCAGGAAATAGAGTGCATTCAGTCCCATCTGGATCTTTTCAGGCTGTTTGGAGGTCTCAGAGTTCCTTCAGTTGTTAGTCAGATCGTTTTCATCAGAAACTTCACAGGAAAACAGATATTCAGTAAATATCTGACAAAGCGTTCCAATTAACAGATGACATCATCACAGTGAAACATTTAAACTTTATCAGCTGATGAGTTTTACTGAAGTCGAACAAAGAATTTCCTTCTGCAGTGTGAAAACCTCCCGCCAACACAGTCCTGATAGTATCAGTGTGATGACTTGAGTGATTGTAAAGCAGCGTTGAGAGGAGTGACTCACAGGAGTTTAATGTTTTTATGATGTTTCCTGTTGCCCTCAATGTTGATCCAAACACACCCTCTGATACGAGCAGCAACACTGTTAGGATCATTTACTTATGTCATTAATAATAAACCAGGTGAAATGTTTCCTCCTAAGATAACGTCAGTTCACACAATCACAACAAGGCTGTCCGTCCTAGAACAGGGATCCTTCCTCAGTTGCTCGTCCTGAGGTTTCTACCATTTTTTCCCCCCGTTAAAGGGTTTTTTGGGGAGTTTTTCCTTATCCGCTGTGAGGGTCCTAAGGACAGAGGGATGTCGTATGCTGTAAAGCCCTGTGAGGCAAACTGTGATTTGTGATATTGGGCTTTATAAATAAAACTGATTGATTGATTGAACATGGAGTTTAATCAGGAGGTTTCTAATTCTGATGGACAATAATCATTTCTTATTTCCGGTGGGTGAACGTTGTAACGCATACCGAACTAAAGAACTGAGACCTTCCTGACTGTCTCTGACATCTCTGTGACTCAACAGGTAAATCTAAACGATGCGACGTGATGCGACTCCTGAATGTCTTGTTTCTCTTCAGTTCTGCTACAGCGCTAACAGTGAGCACCACTAGCTAACATTTGCTAACAATAGCTAAGAAATGACTAACATCAACAAACAATTGACACCCACCCCACCTGCTGTTTCATTAATTTATTTTGCAGCGACGGCCCAGCAGAGACAGAACTTCACTTAGCGCCCTGTAGCTACATGAATTCATCCCACACCACCCTCTTGATGGCCCTGAGTCCCCGCCAGATCAGCAAACTTTCTGTTGCTGCTGTTACATGGGTTAGACCCAGCACTGCTGCTGATCAGCAGCCTGCTGTGAACTGCAGGGTTTGGATTTACGCTGGTTGAATTTGAGTTGCTACAGCGGCTAATGTCTGAGCTGCCGTCTGCTCTCCTCCTGAGGAAGTACCAACCTAGAGATGGGTAGTGAGGCGAAGGGTCAGCAGGCTGTGCTAAAGAGGTAATGTTTGTTAATTGTGGTCTAAAAAACAGTAAATTAACCAAACTCTGTGCTCCATATCATAATTTCAGTTCTCCACTGCTGAAAACAAAAATATTGTGATAACGTAGTTTTAGTGGGCTAATGTTAGCTAACCTTAGCTCGCTGGCTAATAGACAAATTGCTAGCTGGCTTGTGTAGCTAAATACTGTCTTGAGTGATTAATGTCACTTGATTTTATTCAGACTGGTGCTGATCAGACTGGTACATTAGCTAACTTGCTGTTTGCACATTAATTAATCAGCTAATGTTACGAAACAAACAACAGCAGATCAATTGCAGCGTAGCTTCATTAAAAATAGCTGGCTAACTTTGCTTGTCATGTCTGTCAGCCAAGTCACGGCACAATTTTATGACTCCACAATCATGTAATGTGACATAGTGACTTTCAGCACGGGCAGAAAAGTTGTGTAGTGTGTACCAGGCATAATGCAAGTCCTGAGTCTGACCTGTCTGTCAACGAGTCCTCCTCCATCTATTAAGCCGTGGGGATTTTACTGACGATCCTGTGTAATGTTTTAGACTCCACCGTAGACAACGGCAGCATTTCTTCTACCACGTAGCGAGCCACAAGCTCCGTGGCTTCTTTTGGACTGAACACAAGTTTATGTGTGTTTTGGGGGCGGGGCTTTAAGATGGTCATGTTAATGATTAGCAGTTGTTACTAATATTGTTAAGTCATGTTTAAACGTTGTCAAAGGTCAAAGGTTCACGTGAGTCTTAAATACATTTGTTGTTGTTTACTGATGTAACTTCTGTTAATGAGTGTTTTTGATGAGTTAATAAATCATAATATCCACTCATGTAGAGGAAATAGTTATTGAATAGAAGTTAATCAGGCACCAAAGAGTTGGAATGTGTGTGTGTGTGTGTGTGTGCAGGATGTGAAGGAGGGAGCACGATGGCTGAGGGGAAGTTTGAGGATTTCCCAGAAGCAAGCAGTGAGACTGAGGTTTGGATTTCAGCCACACACACCCACACAGACACACAGACACACACACACACACACACACAGACACACACAGACACACACAGACACACACACACACACACACATTCCTGCAGCAGCCCCCTTTTACTAGAAGTCACACGACCCTCACAGTGAGCTCTGATTGGCTGCAGATAACAAACACCATCAGTCATTGTTTCTTGTTCTTCATGACTCCAGACTCCACAGAGGGACCCTCAACACACTGCAGCACCACACACAGGCCCGCCGTCAGGGGGGTCAAAGGGTCAAAGAATCAAAGGTCT